TTTTATTCATTTCAACAGAGGTTTGAATTTTTTAGTGTGAAAATATTTTGGCTTTGGTTAAATATGTTTTTCTTGCCTAATTGCTCTAGATAGAACTTCTAGTGCATTGTTGAATGGAAGTGGTGACAGTTCTTTATGTAATGAGGAAAACTTTCAATCTTTTACCATTGAGTATAATGTTTGATTTAGGTTTTTCATAAATGCTTTCTATCATGTAGAAGGATTTTTCTTCTGTTCCCAGTTTATTGAATGTTTTTATCATGAAAAGTGGATTTTGTCAGATGCTTTTTCTACATCAAGTGAGCTGATCATGTTGTTCTTTTCCTTGGTTGTCTTTATGTGATATATTACATTGATTTTTTTTTTTTTTTTTATGTTGAACCACCCTTACATTCATGGAATAAATCCCAGTTGGTTGTGCTGTGTAATCCTTTTAATTGCTATTGGACTCTGTTTGCAAGTATTTTGCTGAGTAATTTTCATTTTATCTCATAAGGGATATTGATGTGTAATTTCCTTGTCTTGTGATGTTTTTATCTGGTTTGGTATCAGGATAATATTGGCCACATAGATTGAGTTAGGAAGTGTTCACTCCTCTTCTATTTTTAGAAAAGTTAGAAAAGGATTGGTGTTAATTCTTCTTTAAATGCTCAGTAGAATTCACCAGTCAAGCCATCTAGACCTTTTTTATGTTGGATTGTTTTTGATTACTGATCCAATTTCTTCAATTGTAGTAGGTGTTAGACATTTTCTGTTTATTATTTAGTCATTTAGGTTGTTTGAATATTTCTAGAAGCTTTTTGATTTCGTCTAGATTATCTGCTGTGTGTGTCTGTGTGTGTTTGTTTGTGTGTGTAGAGTTGCTTATAATATTCTTTTAAAAGTTTCTTCTATGTAATTGGTAGTAATATGCCTACCTTTATTTCTGATTTTAGTTATTTGTGTCATCTCTCATTTTTAATTTATCAGTGTAGCTAAAGGTTTGCCAATTTTTTATTGACCTTTTCAAAGAACCAATGTTTAGTTTGGTTGTTTTTCTTTGTTGTTTTTCTATTCTTGATTTAATTTTTCTCTAATCTTTATTACTTTGTTCCATCTGCTATCTTTTGAATTTAGTTGTGTCTTCTTTTTCTAGTTCCTCAAGGTATAAAATCAGGTTATTGATTTGAGATCTCTCTTCTCTTTTCATGGAAGCATTTACAGCTATAAATTCCCCTGCGATAAATGTCTTTGCTATATCCTATAGGTTTGGGTGTGTTGTATTTTCATTTGTCTCTAGTATTTTCTAATTTCCTTTACAATTTGTGTTTGACCAGTTATTTGTTTAATGGTGTGTTGTTTCTTTTCTATACATTTGTAAATTTTGTAATTTTCTTTCTGCTATTGATTCATAGTTCCATTGTAGTCAGAGAAGACATTCTGTGTGTTTTCAATAGTTTTAAATTTATTGAGACTTTTTCAGTGCCCTAACATATGGTCTATGCTACACAATAATCCAAGTACACAGGAGAATAATGTGTATTCTGCTATTGTTAGGTGGACTGTCTTATATATATGCGTGTTAGGTCTGGTTGATTTATAGTCTTATACCCCATTGCTTCTGACTCATAGCAGCCTATAGGATAGAGTGCAGTTGCCCCATAGGGCTTCTAAGGCTGTAATTAATCTTTACAGAAACAGGCTACTACATCTCTCTTCCATGGAGCATTGGTGGTTTGAACCTCTTGCCTTTTGGTTAGCAGCTGAGCACTAGGACTCTTTATAGTCATATATATATGACTATATACAATTCTGAGTATTTCTAATAACTTCAATATATTAGAAAATTTAGCTGATCTTTTTATAACTTATCCATATATTTGAATAATTTTATTAAATAGAAAATAGAGCCTCAAATATCAATTAAATTATAAATCACAGAGCCCTAGTATAGCCAAGCTCCATACTTATTCTGAATTATTGACCTTGTATTGATTATGTTGTTATTGTTGTTATGTGCTGTCAAGTCGGACCCGACTCATAGTGACCCCTTCTTGGGTTTCCGAGGCAATATCACTACGGAGGTAGATTGCCCCATCTTCCTTCCGAGGATTGGCTGGTGGGTTTGAACCGCCAGCCTTCTGGTTAGCAGTCAAGTGCCTTAGCCACTATACTACCAGAGCTCCCAATTTGGACTAAAAGAATCTTCTTTTTTTTACTGAGCTTCCCAGAATAAGACCGTGAGGTGAGGATGCCTATGAAAGTCATTTATTATGAAATATTCCCAGGAAAAAGAAGTAGAAGAGCATTGATGTGGTATAAGAATGGGAAGGAAGAGAAGCAAGGTCATGATCAAGCAAGGTCTCAC